CTTTGACAATAGTCCATAATTACATCATCACCTGCCCCTTTCTGCCGCACGGCTTTCCATGATCACTTTGTCTTGTTATTGCCGCCCTGTATGCAGAAGAGTTTTGTGCCATCCTACTGTCAACCTGTCACAAACCTGAGATACTGATAGAGCGTATATAGTATGTCTCGGTTTTTCTCCCCAATATTTCACAGAGATCTTGTAGTGGAATGAGCGGTCAAAGAAGAATCATGCACATCAAACACCTGATACATCGCACAATGCGGATATTGTAACACTACACAGTTACGGAGGGTCTGGCTCTCGTCTGCCTCTACTGGCTCACATGATCGTTAATTACGCCTAGCGTGTAAGCGTCCATGATAATACAAGAACTTCGTTTTTGCAATACGCATAGAAAGCAGATCTGAGATCGTAGTCCGAAAACACGTCTGGTGTCACAGGTCTCATTAGGGATTATCATTTCGACCACGCCTTCCCTTGTAAGTTGGGAAATACAAAACATATCTGCAGATCAGATGTAGCATGCACAGAGTAACTATGGGACTACACGACCAGCTCACTTGATTCCGTTTCTATACGTGAGGGTGCGCGCCAGACTTCGAAGGTGTGAGGGACTGCACAAATACTCATATTTACAGAGTCACATTTTGCAAGACAGTAGCAAAATCGAAAAAACGAAAAAAAAACATACCCAGCGTATTGAACAAGCATCCATTTCAAGATCTTTTCTTCTGGCATTTCAAAACTGCAGAAAAGTGTTCGCACCTGTGATTAAAATACAATGCTCGAGTGACGTATTACACGTTCTGCAGTTGATCTTTTAGCATGACATAGCGAATGGATGGCACTTGTAGACTTACTCCTTGAGTGAATAGATCGAGCGCATACTCGCACAAGAATGTAGTTTTTCCGAATCCAGTGCCACCCGTGATCACAGTCAGCTCGCCTGGACGAAGTCCCAAGAGATATTTATTTAGAGGTGAAAAGCGTTTCCACTAGAAAACCGACTGATTAACAATTTGAAAGAGTCATAATTCACAACCGATCACAACGCCTATGGTGGACGAGACCATAATTGCATTTTGCTTTTCCTTTAACCCTTTTTACGACTACGGCAATAAGCTCTACCTCAGCTTTTCTGTCAGTAACATGAAGGATAATTGCCTACTGCCTACAGTGACCTCCAAGCAGGACCTGCCGAATGTAGTGTGTGTCGTGTTGATTGCTCTCATTTATTGTTTTCCTTCGTTGCGCACATTGTTCTTATTCAATTTGGCTTGAGTTAGAGGTAGGCTTATATTTAAAGGTAGCTCCTGTGTTTCCCTTCATGAGGGATTTGGTCTGGCTCCATAGTTTAGAAATTTGCAAGCTTACTACTTGGATGGCAAAATCTCACTCGGATACACCTGACCATATTCCTCTCAGCTTCATTAAAAAGGTAGCACACATAATCTCTGGTCCACTCGCGTTCATTTTAATTTAGTTTTATGAACGCTGAGGTGCCAGATAGGTGGCGCATTTCACTTGTAACCACCATTTTAAAAGGTTGCCTCACTCAAGCCCGAGCAATTACAGGCCTGTAAGCATAACATCGATCTTCGCTAGACTGTCTGACAATGTTCCAAAGAAGAGTGTGACGCACCTGGATCAGCTCAATATTATCCGATGATCAACGCGGCTTTGAATGGGTGAATCCACCGAAACCGCTATGTTGCATCGTTCAATGATTGGACATCTTACACTTGATATCGGTGTGGGGTCGAACGTGGTCTACGATTTCGAGGAAGGCATTGGACAAGGTTTCCCATCAGAAATTCATCACCAAGCTTATGCTGGTTGGTATTCATCCAAGGATAGTAGAAAGTTGGAGCCAACTGGACTGAAAGCTTTCTTGCGGATAGGATCTTCTCTGCTCGTGTCAATGCAGTGTTTCCTGAGCCAAGAACGGTGTTTAGTGGGGTGCCGCAAGGTGGTGTGTTGTCATCCCATCCTTTTTAATATATTCACTTTCGAACTACCATCTTTAGTCATTGCCAGGGAAGTGAAATGGGTGCTAGCGTAGTTGGACGGGGCCGCGTCCGCCTTGCCGCTATATTTCGAAGGTGGCACGTGGGCGCGAAATAGAAATGACTAGTTGGACTGTCTTGAAGGAACAGACTAACAGAGCGCCGCGCTGCCACGTGGCCCCCTTCAACCACGCTAACACCGTGAAATGTGTTGCTTTTCGGATGATTTCATATTGTATCACCCAGTGACATCTGACTTGGACAAGGAATCATTACAAGATGCCATTAATGATGTTAGCAACTGGGCAGTCAGCGGAACTTGCCTATATCTACAAATAAATCCAAGGTTTTACATTTAGGAAAAAATGCATTTTACCTCTTCCTTTTCGATAGGTGGGGTTCAATTGAAAGTGTTAAGGAAATTAGAGACCTTGACTTTCATATTCGAACTGATCTAGGTTTTGATAATCACTGCTGGAAGATCGCTACTAAAGCCACGGCACTAATTTTTAACTTGTTCAGAGCTCTCTCAGCTACTGAGGGAATCCCTTGGTGCTTCTCAAGGCTTTCAAAACATACATGAGGTCGTACTTAGAATACGGCGCAGTGGTGTTCAACCCACATGAAATAAAAGTTAAATTTAAAGCTATAGAAAGAGTCCAAAATAAAAAGTTCCGTTATGATCAATCCAGTAGCAGGAGTGCGCAATGCTAGTTTAAATCTTAGACCCTAGCTTTTAAAGGAAAAAATACGACCTGATAACGTGTTTTAAGATTTCCCACAGCTACTTAACAAGGGAAGGATGGTAGGTCGAAGTGGCCGTTCGAAATGAGAATGTATACCTCCTGATGCGTCTCCAGACGCTGATTCCAAATCTGCCTTCCAAATCTGCTAAACGACTCTCCGAACGGAGTTATGAAGCGTAATAGCTCAGTGGTGATGGTCCGGGGTGGCAGGTAAAAGCTCGTAGGATCGGTTCCTTTGCAAGTTTGTTGATATGGGGACCTTCACCTTTTGTGAACAGGGCTTGCACAGAGTTTAATTAATAGAATGCTCAGTTTAGGAGTCGTCAAGGGTAAAATAAACTCATCAAAAGTCGCACTGGATAAGTATTGTATCTTGCGTCGTAGGGGAGGCAACTGTTGGAGGAATCTTTCGGGAAATCCTTAAGAGGTTTAGTAACAAAGCACAGCAATGGTGCTACAAGCAATTCAACACCTGACAATCACCGCATTAGGTAAAATGTGTAATTCAGAAGCAATGAGGCGAGAATTCTTCATCTTCACAGTTTCGAAAATGTGTTAGGTTTTACCTGCGCAAATCCTAGCTGGCGTGTGCTTGAGTTGATCAAGTCCGCCTTCACTTCTTCACGTATATCAGTCATTGAACGAAAACCCTTCTCACGGAGACGTACCTTCAATGAGAGTTTACTGATCCTCCAGTAATTTGACCAACTAAACAATGTACAACCAACCGCCTCTCGGCTAAGAATGAGCTTCACTTCCTTGTGTTTTCCGTTACGCACCAATTCGATTGGTCTCTCGATATTTCTAGAATATGCCACTGATCTACAATCGAAATACTCGCTCAACGTGCTCATTTCTATGTTGCCCACCTTATAAGATAACATCGGGAGCCATTCAATGCATATCCCCACTCCTTTGCGAACTCCAAATGTCGGGAAGGGAACCACAAGAAAATTTGTTCGAATTCTTCTAAATATGGGAACACCTAAAAAATGAGCTGAACTTTGCGAACAAAATGGAAAGGGCTTTGAAATAACGATGAATCGCTGTTCATGATTATTTTCTTACAGTTGCATCAATACGTTCTCCATGCGTAAGCGAGAACGCCAGAGCTCCGTCAGTTGCTTCGTAGATCGCAAGAGCATCCCGCTCGTTTGTTGTCAATACTACAGCACGATCCGATGCTGTGGTCATGTGATAGCCAAATATTCCAGAAAAACGCGGTTTTGACCTGAATATTTTGCAGCATGCCACGTCATCCATGAAGAAAGAAAAACTGTAGTCAAGTGACAGGTTGAAGCGTCTTTTCATGCACTACATCTTTCTGCCACACGCTTCTCGACTCTTTTTCATAGCTAAGTAAGTATGTAGCTAGGTCAAGTTTAAGAGTGAGCCACGCATACCCGAGAAACTGCCAAGCGACAACCTTGTTTGTCCCAATGCTTTCTGCGTTGGGCGAGTCTTATCGATGCTAAGATCACAACGTGAACGCTCTGCTCTGCTTTTCTACTAAACGGATAGTCTTGACGAGAGGGACCATCAGGTGGGGTAGCTAGTCTAGGGCAGGCGCGATGGGGA